GGCTGTTTTTATGGAGTCCACCCTCTAAGCCATGTTACCAACATTTAGTCACCTTTACAGGTTTCTTTTTTTAAAAAACATTTATTTATTTATGCGTAAAAGAACAGGGGTACAGGTGCGAGGGGTGAGACGATTCGCCAGAGACAGAGGGGAATAGAACAGGTAGATTGACTGAAATACACTGCTGAGGAGAGCATCAGGCGAGACAGGAGAGGTCTGCTGCGCCATGTGTGTTGCTCCCTGGCCGGGGATTGAACTCATACTGCAGTGGCTGTGGATAGCTTCATAGGTTGCATCTTAACCCCTTGCACCACCAGGGAGGCCCATCTTTACAGTTTTTTTTTTAATATGCACAAATACTCTCATGATATTATTTGTTTTATATTTTTATTTGCATCTACTCTGGATTTGTTGTCTTTTTATCTTTTTATTTATTCTTTTTTTTTTACATTTTAAAATGAAAGGTTTATTAGGAAAATGAGAAAGACAAAGAGAGGCACCTGCATATTTACAGGTGGGCGAGAGGGCTGCCTGTTGTTTTTTTAATTCCACCCACATAAATAAGTTACTAAGTAGCAACTATAAATGTGGAAAAAAGATAATTGATTTTAAAATTGTTAAGTTCTAGCAGAATACTGTTGCCCCCACAAAGCTCTACACCTGAGGCCCACCTTTCCTTCTTAAAAGGGAAAATAGCATTAACAGCTTAATGACACTCTCCTGAGACTTTCTTCTTAAATAGCACTTTCTTAAATAGCACTTAATATTTACTTCGTCTTAAATAGCACTTTTCTTCTTAAATAGACTTTCTTCTTAAATATTCTTCTTAATATCTGAGGTGAAAGAGAAGTGGCAGAAGGCAGGAATTTGGCATAAATGGTGACAGAAATTGAGGACTGACTCCTGCAACTCCATTTCTAACCCCTGTCTTCTTTACTGCCTGCCTCTGCTCTGTAAGTGGTAAGAGTATGAACTGGATTTCCCAGGCTTTTTGTGGTTGGTTGTGGCCTTATGACCCAGCTCTGGTATGTGAGACCTAAACAGATGTCTCCTCCTCCTTCTAGTGTCCTGCTTAGCATATGGATATAACATCTGGGGCTGGAGCAACCATTTTGTGACCATGAGGTAACAAACATGAAAGGCTGTTAGAGCAAAAAGAAGGAAAGTGTACCAGACTTACTTACCTCCTCATTTCTTGGTATGTGAGGAAAATAAACTGTGTTCCATCATTATTCAAGATTTCCCTTATTACCTATCAAACAGAAACTTAACTGAGCCAGCATTTTTTTATGCTGTTCATGGAGTGCCTGAAATCAGCTTGATGCCTCTGGTGGTGACTGTCTTGTGCTTTGGGAGAACTTCTGCCAGGAAACCTGGATTAGTCTGCTAGTACTGTCATAACAAAGCACCATAGAATGAGTAGCTTAAATAGCAGAAATTTGGTTTTTTTGTTTGGTTTTTTTTTTTTTTCAGTTTTAGAGACTAGAAGTTCAAGAGCAAGGTGTTGGCAGGTGTTTACGAAAGTTCTTGATTAAGGTGTTCTCTTGAGGCATCTCTCCTCAGCTCATAGATGGCCACCCTCTTCTGTATCCTCACATGGATTTTCCTCTTCTTATAAACACATCAGTTATATTGGATTAGGGCTTGCTCTAAGGGCCCCATTTTAACTTAATCACCTCTTTGAAGCTCCCATCTATCTCCAAACAGTCATACAAGATATTGGGGTTTAGGATGTCAGCATATGAATGGGGGAGGGGTGCAAAATTTAACCCATAACTGAGCCTAATGATTTATTTTTTGAATAGAATGTATTTTTCCCCTCTCTTAAAATCTTGCAGTCACATGATAGCATGACTCATAGGTGTTCAAAGTCCAGGATCAGGAAACTGCAGATGAGGAGGGAGAGTCCTGGGTTTGGGGTCAGGAGGTTGGGGTTCTAGATCACCATCTTCATCTTGCTGGCACATTTAGTCCCTGTGACCCTCAGAGTTAGATGTGAATATTACATATATAATGCATAGGAAACTTACTGATGATATTTTATTAAATCTAAGATGCCATCAAATATGAGCCACCATTCTATTATATGAACCAAAAAAGGCAAAATCATATCACAGAAGCTTGTAAAATAAAAGATTCAGAAGACTGATACAGATTCAATGAATTTGAAACTCTGAAATGAAGCTAAAGGAATAATATTTTTCAATGGCGCATATTATTCTCATGATATGACAGACTCTGAAGCCTTTTCAGCCTAGCCCCAACATGTTGAACTATCCAAACTAATTCTAAAACACAATCTTGGGGACTATATATCAGTTTCATAGATAGTCTATTGGAAGCCTGGATTTCAGACTTTGCCAGCAAAAACTCAAAGACCAAATATTTTACATTTCCTAAGGCATTCGTGGAATTCCAGAAGGTCTCAGCTCAAGAGTTGCATATAACAAATAACTTTGGTAGAACACATAAACCAAGTCTGCTTCTAGCTGTAGGAATGCTGTAGCATTTTATCTCTTAGCAGCTTTCTGATCTCTTTCTCAGACTGTAACCTGCAGGCACTGAGACCACATCCACACTTCTACACTTTTCTGATTCTAAATGGCATACGGTTAGTTCCTTATGTGTATATTTTAAAATTTTTTGTCTGACTTGTTAAAGTTTAGTTGAATTTCCTTAAATATTATTTTTCCTATATAGCTATGATTGAATCCTGGGTGATGGAGTACTTTTATGACCACAGAAAAAGCAAGTGTCAAGATTAGAGAGCCACTCTGGACTCCTCGGCTCTCTTTCCAAGTTATTAGCAACCTACCTGACCATTCCCTAGTCCTCACACCACATTTACCTGTGCTCCATGATCTCAGTTGAGGTCAGGCCCCAGATTTTACAGGGGGATAGACTGATGCCCTCCTAACCTCCCTAGTTAAAATAGATCATTTATCCAAGGTCATATACAGGTTAACCTACCTATCTTGAGTGTACCCCCAGACCACCATCCCTTCCATTTTTCCCTCTCCCCATGTTCTGTCAACACACCTCAGGAGTTGCTATCAAAACCACAGTGCAGTACCACCAATCTAGTCCGACCAATGGGAAACCACCCTGAATTCCACCCAGATTGTCCACTGAGCCACACAATTTCTGTTTGCATGCAGATTCCATCTAAGTCTTGGCTAACTCCCAGGGACACACTATCAGATCTGCTGTATATTGGCAGAATGTTGGCTTAAAACATATTTCAAATGCCTCCTATTGAACATTGGCAGCCTTGAAAAAACATGGCCAGGAAATTAGTCTGGAAGGTTCAATTGCTTTATGAATCTTTACAAGGAGAAGCTGATGGCTTCCCCCCACCCAAGTTCTCCCCTTTGTGCATCTCCCCGTGCGTGCTGTAAATTTAGGCAAGGGACGGCTCAGCTGCCGTCCAAGTGTGTGTGGGGGGTACCTTCTTTACGGGCAGGGGCCATCCACACAGAGCAGGATGTTTGCTGCCAAGTTCTTTCTTCTTCATTTTTAAAACCCTTGTGCATTCCAAGGGAAATGTTGTCCATGTGTTTCTGATTCATTTACACTTAAATCATTAAAATGTTGTTTTGTGAGAGTTATTTGATGTCTGCGGAGCCTTTAAGTCTTCTTAATGGGCCTTTTAAAGGCTTTTTCTACTCTGCCTGAAACAGAAAGCAACATTTTGCTAAAACAATGCCTAGGCTCAAACTTATTCTTTCACCCCCTGTATTTGCATCCACATTATCAACCACAGACTCCTCATCATGATGACTTGGCAAGGCTGACATTTGTAAGGGTTAACATAGAGAAAATGGATCAAGGTGAATTCCGGCAGAGATTCAAGACACTGTTCCCCAAATGGCGAAAGTTGCATTATCAGAGGGTGCAAGTGTACGCATTTGTTGCCTTGGATAGAAATGCAATTTCCAACCTCAGGACTCTTCTCATAATGCTTCAGATTGACTTTCTCTGTGGCTGTCATGTGTTTTAAATGCCATGGGCATTATGATAAATTGGTGAATAGTCTTACTATTGTAAGACTTACTAATGGCGAAGAGCTCAGCTACTTCCCACATTACTTTTGAGCTGTGTGATGCTGAGTTAGTCACTTAAGCTCTCTGGGCTGAGTTTCCTCAGACACTTGCCTGGAGACAGACAGATCAGTAAATATTAACTATCAGTGATAGTTGTGAGGGGGAGTAAAGAGCTGGATAACCTTGGCAAGGTGTAGGACCTGAGCCACAGGATTCCCATTTGTAAAATGTGCACAGTAGTGTGTGGAGTGATAGAAATGTGTGTGGGAGTGATAGAAATGACATTTGTGCCCGGCACTGTGCCGAGCACAGAGAAGGTTCCCAGTAAAATCTATTCTTGGCGCACAGATGCCGCTCTCTTATGTGTTATTGGTCATCACCAAGGAGGAAGCGATATCTTATTGTTCTGCTCAGCTTAGGTCCGGAGTGTAGAGATCCTGGGTAGAGACACGTACACAGGCCCCAGTCTATCTTCACCATGGGGTATAGGGTTTTCTCGCTGCTCTCTGGGCTGGATTAGACCACTGCACACTCTGACTTGGTAAACAGTGCAAGAATAGCTTGTGAGCGGGGAAGAGCAGCTAGCCCTTTGCAGGACCTGGTGCTTCCTCGCAGCCCCAGCCAGGGGCTCTGTGCGCAGGGAAACCACGGTTATTTACAGACAGATGGACTGAGGCTTCAGCGTTTGGGTCTTTTTTTTCTCTCCTAGTGGACATGTTAGTATTCCCTTCTTAGTTCTTTTTTTTTTTCCCTTCTGTTTAATTGGTGTTCTTTTACTGGTGCTCTGAAGAAGAACAGAGAACTATAGCCATCTGGCAAAGGAGACTGAAGGGAAAAATTAGACTTTGTCCCCCTCCACTGTACACACACATACACACACACACAGATACAAATGCTTATCTGACTCTCAGTGATCTCTTTCAAGAGCTGGAGGCAGCCACAAGGATAAAGAAGCAGACTGGAAGAGCAGATCTTTTAAGAAGACATTCTGTTCCGTCAGGTTCCTCTGAGTGTGTGTAAAAGCAAGCCAGGAGAGAGAGAGAGAAAGAGAGAGAGAGAGAGAGAGAGAGAGAGAGAGAGAGAGAGAGAGAGAGAGGAAAAGGCAGAGAGAGAGGGGGAGAGGGGATCTGTTGCAGGCAGGGGAAGGCGTGACCTGAATGGAGAATGCCAGCCAATTCCAGAGACACACAGGGACCTCAGAACAAAGATAAGGCATCGCTGACACCACACCGGGGACAAGCTCACAGACAAGTCAGGCTGGGGGGACCAAGGTCTGGCAGCCAGGAGTACCGCAGGCAGGAAAATGAGGTGAGTGCCAGGGTAGAAATGGGCAAGGTGCCCTTTCGGGGACCAGAGTGCAAGAAGCCCTGTTGGGTCTGACCTTGTCTCTGGACAGACTCACCTGCATGTTCCACGGGTGGGTGGTGTTGAGCAAGTTTCTCCTCAATCCTGGGGGCTCTGAAAAGGGGAATATGGGCTGGGAGTCCTCCTGGAGACTCCACAGATGCGCAACTTGAGACGGAGACTTTGTGCAAACCCTGCCCCACTCACGATGCAGAAGCTCAGATTTCTGCCTCTGCCCGCACAGGGTGCTGCCTGCTGGCCAATGTGACTTTCCTCCTGTTGCCCACAAAGCTGACTTTTCATTTTTGTCCTCTACAAAGAGCGTTGGTTTATCTCTTCCCACGTTTTTGTGAGTTAGATACGTGTTTGTGTGTTTATTTGTTCTGGCCGGAAAAGGAACCAGCTTCCCACAGCTCAGCTCTGTGATTTCTTAAACCTTCAGAAGTTTGTCAGCCTCAATTTAGAAAACTAAAAACCTGTCCTCGTTTTACAGTTTGCTATAAATTTCTGCATTTCTCGCTGAAATCAGAGGCAGCTGATGGCAGGAATCGGGCTATGAATTGCACCAAAAAGCTCTTAAAGGGACACCACAAATTTTAAAAACAAAAAGAAAGTAAGAAAAGAAAAAAGGGATATTTGGAGTGCTGAACTGAAGACTGGATTGTTTTTAAGCTCTTCAATGCTTCTTAGTCCTCAGCCTGTGCTTACTCGGCTTAGGGTTATTTGAGCCTTTTTACTAGACACGCTTCATACGTTTTCCTCTGCAAGTCTCAAAACCCAACTACTGTAACTATTTTTACTACTTACAAGTGTTAATGCTGTTAAAAACACGGAAGAAACAGGAAAACACTCTGCACATGTGTTAAGTCCCTACATACCTCTTTCCTCGCTGATTTTTTTCTCAATCGGAAAGGATGTCTATGGGTTTCTTTCCTGCAAAGTCACCTAGCAACTTTTCTGACTCTGGGTCCAAGGAGGAGCTTCACGCTGTGTTAACCCTTTGAGTTCAGATTACCTGTAGTTTAAACAAGTAATCAGGTCTTTAAGGTCTATTCAATCATTTTAAATCCACTGTAAATTTTACACCTGCCAGCTAGTTTCATTTTCCTTTCTCCTAAAATAGAGGAATTTTAGGAGATATTTACACCCTTCCACATTTGATTGATCTGTTCACTATCAGAATGTCACCAACCACCCAGTGCTCACTCATATCGAACTTCAAGACTGATTAACAGTTCTGTGTCTCCGTTTGTTTATTCCTTAATCCGGAATAGCCTTCCCTCTTATTTTCCACTTGGAGGACCTTGGTCATTCAAGTATCACCTCCTCTGACAAACGCTCCTCCCCCAGCATCTCCTTTCTGCTGTCTCCATCCTTTGAAGCTACATCTCTATTGTCTTTGAAATATTTGTCCATCTTCTCTTCCAAGACTGAATGTTTCTTAAGGTACAAGATTGATATCTTCTTCATCTATGCATGACCAGGGCCTAGCACAATCTGTTTCCTATTAAGCATTCCATGAGTATTGGCTGTATTGAATTCAATTTTATATAGCAAAACTACTACTGGGAATGTACTCCACCAGAAATCTCTAAAGGGTCTTGTATCACAGAGATGCAGCACTTTAAAGTCTTCAAAATACTTTCTTAGACACTGTTTCACAGGGTCTTCAGATTTTGGATGAGATTAAGCTTTATGGAGAAATGAAGATTACAAACAACTAAGCATCTTACCCATAGTCACACTGATGATCTTGAGAAAGCCAACTCAAACTTGGATCCTTGGGCTCCAAGTCCATGATTTTTTGTTTACTATATTCCACCAGACTCAAAACTATGTTTATTACTCTACACCAGCAGTTCTCAATCCTAGCTGCATGTTAGAATCATCTGTGATGCTTTTAAAAATACCAGTGACTAGACCTCACACTCCAGACCAATTAAACAAGAATCTGTTTGGAAGGGGCATTTGTATTAGTATCTTTTTTTAATTTTTGCATAAAGCCAAGGGGGTTTTGAATCATTTTTCACAGTATTAATTGCTTTGGCAAGATGCATGGGCATGAGATGGGCATGGACCCAGCTTCTTCTGTGAGCTTTTGTTATTCCTTCTTCTGTTGAAGCTATTCACCATATGGTATTGGGCATCACACGTCACCTCTTGTGGTATCCTTTTGATCATCTGTCAAAGAAGGGTGTTGCCCAATGGATCTTCAGAATCTCTTTCAACTCCTGTTCTCAAAAACAGTGTTGGTGTGGTGTAGATTGAAGTGAGGGGTATGCATGGAGGAAAAGAGAGTGCTGTTCGGTCCACCATCAGAGCAGTGTGCGGTCATTCATAGCCTTCCCAATAGTCTGCTCCTACATTGGAGCCTATGGAATCTCAGTTTTGTATATTACTTTTGACATTTCAAACAGATGCAGCTAAACTTTTTGATTAGCTGGAGAATAGATAGCAGGTGTCGGGAATTGTACAGCCAGTGCCTGGTGCATGAGGAAGTCAAAAACATTCAGAGATTGTGATGCGGAATGAAAGCCGCCACTTCAAGTCGTTTGATTTGCAGCCCCTAAAGCAAGCAAGAAGCATATGCTCAAGCCCATTATGTGAAAGGAGATATTTGTTTCATATGTTTGAAACTGTTTTGAGATGCAAACAAAATAGAACAGAAAGCTTGTCAGCCTGCCTCCCACGCTGACCAGTTGTCTACCACAAGCAGTTCTGGGCCTCCAAGGCGGGATGGGGCTGTCAGCCACCAGCCCTTGATAGAACCAGTGTTAGGACATGCAAAGTCCCCTCCCTGTGGTCTGGACAAAGCAGACATGGAGAAAGTTGACCTTTCAGCTTTACATAATCTGGGTGTCGCTATTGCAGGGAAGGGTGATTTGGGAGCCAAAGCTCATTCCTAACCCCTGCTTTTCGGGAAAGCAACATGATGGAGTAATCATCGCTAATATTTGCCTAGGGCTGGACAGTTAACAGTGTGCTTTCCAAACCGTCCTTACTTTGATAGCAGCCCTGTGGGAACTCATTAGTATCACCACTTAATGGATGAAGAAACTGAGACCTTAACTGACTTCTCCAAGATGGGTCAGATAAATAAAGTCAAAGGCTAGACTAGTATCCGTTCTTCTGATCCAAGACCCATGCTGTCCCCTCCCTAGGCAGAATTGAACCGGAACTCCCAGCACTGGCAGCATCCTTAGATGACAGTGGGTCTGCCTGTGCCCTGAATGTCAGTTTTCTGGACCCAGCTTCCTGCTAATTCACTGGACAGCTAAGATCCATGCCTTCTTTTTCTCTACCTCAGAGGCTCTCCCTCCACAGACTGGTTAAAAAAAAAAATAGATATTGAATTAAAACATCTTGTTTCCTTAGTTCCATCTCACGTATTGCTATTGAGGGACTTTAGAAAAATTTGAATAACTTCATTACTTTCTTTTTATTGAAAAAATAGTATAAAATCCTGCTAGACAAATTGGAGCATTTCATATGCACAAAAATAAAATTAAGAACACTCATGTTCCCACTTCAGCAATAACTGTTTTTAATAGCTTGGTGTATGTCCTCCTGGGCCTTTTTGCATTTATATATTTACATTTTACATAGATATTATATGAGATAGGTGGCTGATCTATGTATACAGCTATAGTTATCTTGTGTCTACATACTCCAAAATTCACATGTACACATATATGCACATGTATGCACCTGTGTACAGGAGATTTAGGCCTAGGGAGAAACAACTTCCCGATTAGCAAACGTGTAACTGTTAATTCAAAAATATTAGTATAATGTCCCAGCATTGATTTTCTAGGATATATAAGACTCTGGCTCCACTTTCATCATTCACTCATCATCCATTATCCTACAGGCTCTGTACTAGGTCCTGTACACACATCATCTCTAATACTTATGTGAGCCCTGTAATTAGAGATTTTAATTCTCATTTTACATATGAGGAAACTGGGACTCAGAGAGATTAATTGCCCAAGATTTCACGCCAGTGAATACAAGCATTAGGATCTCAACACAAATACATCTAACTCCAGAGACTGTGCCTAAGGCAGGACAGTGTGATGCATGCTCTTTTAGAGACACCTGTGGGGAGCTGTGGAGTCTGGAAGAGTGAAGGAGACGCCACATCCAGGGAAACTGAACTGGGAGAATAAATAAGACAAGAAGGTGAGGAATGAGCAGGGCATGTGCAATGGGCCCAGGCATGTGTGAGCACGGCATGCTGGCGGAATGATGTGCCAGAGCATGGCACTGAGATGAAGCTGGCCAAGCAGATAGCACTAGATGGAAAAGGCTTATCAGCCATGCTGGGAGCAGATGCTTTATCGTGCAGATGCAGGGGAGCAGCATGGTCACATTTGTGTTCTAGAATATCAACTATGGCTGGAGATCGCTAAATGGCATAAAATGTGGGGGCTGGGGAGCAGGGAGGTCAGCTAGAAAGCAATAGAAATAGACCAGATCCAAAAGTTTAAACTAATTGACTGGTGAGAAGCTGATAAATTTCCAAAACATAGGAAGCCAAATAAATAGGACTTAAGGGGGAAGTTTATGAGCCAAGTTTGAGACGCTTGAGTTCAGGGTCCCCGGGTCTCACAGGGAACAATCTATTTGATGCATGGTGTGGTGTATATTGACCATTAGGGTTTGACCTTAAAATGTAATTAGGAAATTTACATTTTCACCTGTAAAATGATATGTGTTGGAATCCCAAAACTGGTACTTGCTAGAAACATTGATTACTATTATTAAATCTTCAAATGAGTAAAACTGGAAGAATGCTCAGAAATCATCTGGTTGCTATAGTATGCTAGTCCCTGTAGTATAGACTGTGTAAGCAGGGCTCAGAGGAGAAATGTAATTACAGCAGGACAGTGACAGGGATGGTGTCTTGCTGTGAGTTGAGTTAAGCGGTGAGGACCTGTGTCCCTGAATGTAAGTAGATCCATTTGTCTTTCAGGTGGCTTCTTCTCTGTCATATTCTGTGCTTCTCCTTGTCGAAGGCTTTGGCCCACACTGTGGAGCTGAACAACATGTTTGGCCAGATCCAGTCGCCTGGCTACCCAGACTCCTATCCAAGCGACTCAGAGGTGACTTGGAATATCACTGTCCCTGAGGGATTTCGCATCAAGCTTTACTTTATGCACTTCAACTTGGAATCTTCCTACCTTTGTGAATATGACTATGTGAAGGTGAGACCCTTATGTTCTCTACTGGACCAGGTTCCCTACTGGGAGCTAGGGAAGCTCAGATGTGTTAAATGCTGTGCTCACCCTCCCAGGGTGGCAGTCCAGGGACATACACAAGAGATGAATGAAGCTTGGGGCTGTATACCAGGTAAGTCTGAGTGGGTAGACCAAGAAAGGACCATGAGGGAAACTGACATGAGCAAAATTGTGACTCACCAAACACAACCACCCTTTCGCTTGTGGCCTCCTTTTTAATTTTTCCACTAACCTCTGCTTCAAAGTCACCTTTAATTCAACAAGTAGAAAAGATCTGAGACACCAGAGTAAACATTAATCAGAATGAAACATAGTTACATCCAAAGCTGAGGCCATAGAAAGCATTGTCCAGTTCCCTAAGAAATGATGGAGTATTTGGGAAATGCAGAGGTTACAGTAGTAAACTAGAAGGCCAAGTTGAGAGGCTGGGTTGGGGTGAGATTCTGAAGGGCCTTGAATGTCATGCTCAAGAGTTTGAATTTTATCAGCAAAGAGCATGTGCAAGGGACAAGGCTTGAGGAGGACATTATTAGAAGTGGATTTAAAAGGAAGAGGGCCTCCTTGGTGGTGCAAGGAGGTAAGAACAGAACTACGAAGCTCACTGCAGCCACTGCAGCACAAGTTCGATCCACGGCCAGGGAGCTACCCATATGGCAGAGCTCTCCTGTCTCTCCTGCTGCTCCCCTCAGCAGTGTATTTCAGTAGATCCACCTATTCTCTTCCCCACTCTGTATCTGGTGAATCTTCTCACCCTCTACACCTCTGGCCTGGACCCCAGTTCTTGTATGCATAAATAAATGAAACTTTAAAGAAAAAAAAAACATACAGAAAATGAATAAAAAATTCTTACAACATCAAAACAATTCTCCTTAGAATTTAGAGAGAAGCCTAAGCAGGGCCTTGGATGGGAAGCAGTTCTCCTTTAAAAGAGCAGCTGAGGGGCCGGGCCTCCCTGGTGGCACAGGCGGTTGAGCACAGCACTGTGAAGCTGTCCATAGCCTCTGCAGTGCCAGTTCGATTCCTACCAGCCTAGGAGCAACCCACATGGAGAAGCAGACCTCTCCTGTCTCGCCTGTTGCTCCCCTCAGCAGTGTATTTCGTCAGTCTGACTGTTCTGTCCCCCACTCTGTCTCTGGTGAATCCTCTCACCCTCCTGCGCATCTGGTCTGTACCCTGGATCTTGTATAAATTAATAAATAAATCTTAAAAAAAAAAAAGAGCAGCTGATAAGGTTGGAGAACTTCTCAGAGTTCAAGCGTATTAACATTGTCTCTGACTCAAAAAGGTGTAAAGATCTAAGCACCTACATCCAGTCCCCCTCTCTCTGACTTCCTAGAAGAGGGTCTCATCAAACCACTCCAGAGTAGACTTGGCATGTTTTTAGTATTGCTGTAGTCTCCTTTTTCCTCAATCTGTAATTTAATGATTTTCACTAACCACAAATTGGATCAAAAGCAAGAAAGTGAATGTCTAAGATATCTTACACTTACAATCTCCTTCAGCCTTTAAAACAATCCTAAAAGATAGGTACTACTATCTCATTTCACTGGCAAAGAAAAGCCTGAGAGGGTGAAACATCCCCCCAAGGTTGTACAGCTAGTAGTGGTTGTCAAGGTTCCTCACCCACGTCTTGTGATGTTGAACGCCATGCTCCTCTGGTTCCCTCACACTACTCACAAGCTGTGCTCCACACTGCCCCACGATACTGTATGGACTTACATAGCCAATGAAGTGGGTGGGAGGATGAGATCTGGTAAGTGAAGCGTGCGAACGCCTACCCAGCTTAAACTCATTTTCAAAGTTTGGTGTTGCTTATTATATACATTGAGTCTGCATGAAATATCCCATCTACAACCAGGTTTTTGTGTTTAAAATCAGTGTTCCATTGCAATTTCTCATTCTCAGCACTATTGACATTTTTAATTTTTTGCTGCGGAAAGCTGTCTTGAGAATTGTGGTATTTTTAGTTTCATCTTTGACATGTACTCACTAAATGCTGGGAGCTCTCTCCCTGCAGTTGTCACAACCAAAAATGTCTGCAGACATTGCCATTACCCCTGAAATAGCAAAATCTCCCCATTTGAGAACCGCTGCTCATGGCATGCTGCTCCTCTTTGATTGGCTTGGGCTAGAGACTGTGAGAATTTGGGCTACAAAAGGTCTTTTAAAAGATCCCTTATAAAAAGAGATAAACCGGGGGCCTCCCGGTGGCACAGTGGGTTGAGCGCTGTGCTGTCCACAGCCTCTACAGTACGGCCGGCCAGGGAGATTCCCACATGGTGAGGCAGACCACTCCTGCCTCGCCCGCTGCTCCACTCAGCAGTGTCCTCTGTCTGTCTGCCTGTTCTGCTCTCGACTCTGTCTCCGGTGAATTCTCTCACCCTCCCATGCCTCTGACTGTACCCCAGTTCTTGTATAAATAAATAAATCTTAAAAAAAAAAAAGAAACCTAGAAACAGTCATTGCAAGAGATGGAAGAGTAAGGACAGTGAAAGACTGACATGGAAAATGAGAGGAGGTGGAACTGGTCACTCTAAGAGATGAAAGGGTTTGGGAATCTAGACTGCATACAGCTTCTTTCTGTTGTTGTTCCTTGCATTATGGTTATTGTATAGAAAAAAATAGGCAATACCATTCCATTTCATAAATACCTGTTATCAATATGTCAAAATTATGGTAACTGATATAGTCTTTTGTGTATTCAAGGTCACACTCATGGGGTACTCTGACTAGCCAATGGTTTTTATCTTTAGGGTAATTTTTTTTCAGCATTTGATTTGACCTCTGATTTTTAGCACTATTGAAATTTATGAATAGATGAATCATTGGAAAGATCTATAAAATTTAATATCCTCTTAAATCTCACTGAAAATCTAGTTTCTGTGCTGGAAATAGGCTGATCCTTTCTTGATCTACCTTTCCCTAGTAGATGAGCTTGTCCAGAAGCCTGCTGTGTTTCACTGTGCTCAGCATTGCTTCTGGACAGGATACTGGGTCAGTTTCAAGCCAAATTTAACTGTTTTTTCCTTGACATACAACTTACATAAATTTATTAAAAGTGGAGCCAACTTCTCAGCATCACAAGGATCAAGCAGGGGATATTCACTGAGACCTAAATGTTCATCATCCAAAACTGAACTTCCTGATAAAAAGCTCACTTATATCTTCCAGGATCTAATGGAACCTCTGAAAATAAGATGGTTTATGGATAGATACCATTAAGTTAGGTGGAATCCCCCAGCCCATTTTCCCCAACTAATGCTGGTCATAAAACCATGGCATTCTCAAACAATTGGGCTGAAGCGATGTTGGCCAGAAAGAAAACGACCAGACAAACATGACTTAATACGACAGTGCGTTCCAGAGATTTGGTCAAGGCTAGGTGTGAATTTCCTAACTGCTGCTTTCCTGTACTTTCAAACATGTCAACCATCTAGAAATTTTGTCAGTGAGAACAATGATTTTATTGGAAACAGAGTCTTCAAGACATAAGAAATTACAGATTTTTTTCTTTAGTTATGACAGTGACTTACTGTCATGATTTCCCACTGCCTTAACCCCCAAGTGACTCAATTCATAGGCTCTGAACAATCATTTCTCACAAGTTTTCTTTTTGTTCAGACAGGTACGGAGTTTGACCTTGTTAGGATTCCTTTACCAAGATGATAAACACGCTATAGAGGATTGAACTCATTCCTTTGCCCTAAATAAATTGAGTTCTTGGCAAAGCAGATTAAGGTGCTGACATCAGCTGCATTTCATAGTGGAAAAACATGACAAGGTACTTTTCAAGGGCAGCAATGGAATCTGAACACTTCTTCTGACACTGAATTAAGCTGTAATTCATTTTCACTATAATACGCATCTGCCCTAACCATGGCCTTTCTTTCTGAGCAATATTTTTGAAATTACTTGATAGTTTCTATCCTGGGTGGTAAAATACTTTCCTGAAAGCCCAGCAAAATGGACCTAGGCCCTCTGGAAGGGCAGCGTGGCTGTAGACCTTGCCTGGGATTTAGGAAAACGCCTGTTGGCATCTTAGATATGGCACGAACTCCCAAATGACCTGGCATGGAAGAAAATCTTAGGAACTCTCTGCTCCCAAATTAAGCCTATGATCTCTGAGCTTAATGAAGAGTCAGTCTACCTGAGGCAACTCAGATGCTGAGCTGCCCACCTGAGAGGGGCCCAGCTGTCCTGGCATCTCTGATTCAGATACATTTTTCTAATTCCTTTGAAAGGTTTTAACACGTTGGGCTGGAAGGGTAAGATATAATTCTCCACTTGTCTTACACAGCTGACTCCCTTCCAGAATGCAATCCTAAGCTTTGGGATAGGCCTCCCTGCAGAGCTTCCAGCAGCCATGGGGCCTCAGCTGGCCAATCTTCCCAGCATGCTGCACCCTTGTTGGCTGACACATGTTGCTCATGGGGAGACAGGCCTGTGCTATTGCCCACGAATGCCTGGCACAGTTCCCCTCCTAGAATCAAGCACTCACAGCCTATAAGGGTAAGGACCCTTTGGAAACTCATCTCTTCCCACAATGTAACAGCTATCACTGTCTTCAAATATTTTCTCCCCAGTGAAGATTTTCTTCTAACACATCTTCATATAGGACAGATATAGAAAACAGACAGAAGTGAAGTTGCTTGGGTTGAAGGTTACCCTCTACCTCATCCTCCTCAGTCACCTTGCAGGGATACATCTTGAGTTTTGCTTATGTCTCCCTTGCACTGATAAGGAAACTGAAGGTAGGGACAAGGCTAGCACTCTGACCTCTGAACCCCCAAACCCAGAAGTCTGACACATATGGATGAATCCTGTTCACTTTTTCAACTTACCTTCTCCCACCACCCCCAGATTATGTACTTCTCCTGGCTATGAGTGAGAAAGAAGCTCTTCCCTTTCCTCCTGAATAATATGAATATGCCAGGCCACCTCCAGTTAACTAAGCACCCCTCTCCAAT